GGATTACTTCATTGGGCATGGATAGATTTTTGCATTGCCTAAATTTGAGTTTTTAATCTAAAGATGATCTTCAAACCAGAACAGGTGGTGTGTATGTATATTTCCGTTCCAATTCCTCCTCCTGGCTGTATTTTCTGTGGTAAAGGGTGTGTATGAGGCCAGTTGTAGGACTTGTTTGCAGGTCATCATTGTGTGTGTGTGTGAGAACGTTATTAACTTCATGATTACATCATGATTACACTGTCTGGGGACTTGAAACAGGTCTTAACCAGATTTAACATTTGGCCCCTGGGCATGCTTAAAGACCATAAAGGTCTGCAGAAAATTGTTGAAACACTTTACTCCTGATCAAAATGCTGAATAAAGAGGTCATGCAGTTTATCCAGTCCTAAAAATGAGAGGAACAGCTGATGAGAAACAGAGATGAACAGTCCAGAGGGGGATAATGCAGACCCCAGCATGTGAAAAGTCTCAGGGATTTTGTTTAAAATCATTCACTTTTATCAGAAAGTTGTCAAGCTTTGGCTGACATCGAATACTAATGTCTTATGCGATGCCTGAGGTGTTTTGTTTTCATGTAAATTAGGAGCATGGATTTATAAAGACGCAGGTCACTGAGGCTGAGCTGTGAGTTGTCCTTTCTTTCGTTTTACTCACTAATTAAAAACTGGCACTCAAAAAATATTGAGTGGAGTGGAAAGAAATGGGACTAAGAATGAAAGAAACTATACTAGAGGAGGATGTTGAATAAAACATAACACAGCGAAAGAGATGGATGGATAATTAGGTGTGCTTTCCACCTCTGCTGATTGAAAACAGTGAATACAGTTAAGTACTGAATACACCTACATGCTTTAACGTGCACAAACACAAACTGTTATAACATGTGCAGGATTATCAACATGTGCATTTACACATACATGTTGCAAATGCATCAAGTCTACACTTTAAACCCAATGGGAGATTACCACAATCCTAATCAGTCACACATCCAGCTGAAGCTCTTCATGCTTGAAAAGGCTTTCTGTCCACTCACCCCAGTCCAGGTTTAGTCTCTCTGAGCTGTCCACACCAGCTCTTGTCCCTGTCCAGCATCAGGTACCAGCTGGTCTGAGCAGGCAACTATTATACCTCTGTTATTAGACTTGGGAAATGGAGACATTTAACATGACTGCAGCTGAGACTGAAGTCCCCACGGCTCTGTGTGTAAATTGCATTGCTCTCACAAACAATCCTATTAAATTATGACCACTCAGAAGAGACTTTGATTCTGTAAAACACTGTCTTAGTGGCCTAGTTTCAGCAGAGTTGACCATTTCATGTGTTTGAATGTTGAACAAGAATAATCAAACACATGATCATAATGTGGGCAGCACGGTGGCTCAGTTGGTAGAGCTGTTGCCTCTCGGAGAGAAGGTCGCCAGATCAAAACCCGGTCAGGGACCTTTCTGGGTGGAGTTTGCTTGTTCTCTCTGTGAATGATTGGGTTTTCTTCAGGTACTTTGGTTTCCTCCCACTGACCAAAAACATGCATGTTAGGCTAAGTGGTAACTAAATTGTCTCTAGGTGTGAGTAAGAGAGTGAATGGTTGTTTGTCTTTTTTGTTTCTATGTGGCCCTGTGATGGACTGGAGACCTGATGATTTACCAGTGGAGGTTTGGAAATGTCTTGGAGAGATGGCAGTGAGGTTTTTGACTCAAATATTCAATGACATATTTGAGGGTGAGAAAATGCCAGAGGAATGGAGAAGTGTGCTGGTGCCCATTTTTAAGAACAAGGGTGATGTACAGAGTTGTAGCAACTACAGGGGAATTAAATTGATGAGTTACACATGATGAAGATCTGGGAGAGTTGTGGAAGCTAGACTTGGACAAGAGGTGACTGTGAGCAGCAGTATGGTTTCATGCCAAAAAAGAGCACCACATATGCCATCTTTGCTTTTTGAGGATGCTGATGAAGAAGTACAGAGAGGATCACAAAGAACTCCATTGTGTCTTTCTAGATTTAGAAAAAGCATATGACAGGGTGCAGAGGGAGGAGGTGTGATATTGCATGAGGACATTTGGAGTGGCAAAGAAGTGTGTTAGACTGGTACAGGACATGTATGAGGACAGCAGGACAGTGGTGAGATGTGCTGTAGGAGTGACAGATAGCTTCAAGGTGGAGGTGGGAGTGCATCAAGGATTGGCTCTGAGCTCCTTTTTGTTTGCTCTGGTGATGGACCGACTAACAGATGAGGTCAGGCAAGAATCCCTGTGAACTATGATGTTTGCCAATGACATTGTGATCTGTGGGGAGGACAGGGAAGAGGTGGAAGAGAACTTAGAGAGGTGGAGGTATGCACTTGAAAGAAGAGGACTGAAAGTCAGCCATAATAAGACAGAGTCCATGTGTGTGAATGAGAGGGAGACAGGTGGAACAGTGAGGTACAAGAAGCAGGTCACAAAGGTGCAGGACTTCAAGTACTTGGGGTCCACTGTTCCGGAAATTGGGGAGTGTGGTAAAGAGGTGAAAAAGAGTCCAGGCAGAATGGTGTGGAAGGAGAAATTTTCAGGAGTGATTTGCGACAAAAGGATGTCAGGAAAGGTCAAAGGAAAAGTTTACAAGACAGTGGTGAGACCAGCTATGTTGTATGATCTGGACAGTGGCATTGACAAAAAGACAGGAGACAGAACTGGAAGTGGCAGAAATGAAGATGTTGAGGTTCTCCTTAGTAGTGACAAGGATGGATAAGATTAGGAATGAGATCATCAGAGGTACAGCACATGGTGAACAACTGGGGGATAAAGTTAGAGTGGCCAGACTGAGATGGTTTAGACATGTCCAGAGGAGGAACAGTGGGTATACTGGTAGAAGGATGTTAGAAATGCAGCTACCAGGAAATAAACAAAGAGGAGATACATGGATGCAGTTAGAGAGGACATGGAGGTAGTTGGAGGATGCAGAGGACAGAATGAGATGGAGGAGGATGACTCGCTGTGGAGACCCCTGAAGAGGGAAAAGCTGAAAAAAGAAGAAGATTTAACAATAAAATATAATTCTAAGAACAGCAGCATCATGATTGTGCGGAGCAGAGAGGACTCCGAGTTGATGTTCCCTGATTTCTTTCTGTCGGGCAACGGGCTGAAAATCAGTAATGAATGTAAATACTTGGGGCACTATGTGACTGCAGACCTGTCAGATGATAGAAACATTTACAGACAATGTCATATGCTCTATGGACAAGCTAACATGCTGATACGTAGGTTTGGACCGTGTTCAAAATCAGTTAAGATCCAACTGTTTAAGGCCTACTGCACTCCTATGTATACCGCTCACCTGTGGAGACGTTATAAAAGGCGCAGTATGTATAGACTAAATGTGGCATATAATGATGGCATGCGGATGCTGCTAAGAGTACCTCGATGGAGCAGTGCAAGCAAAATGTTTGTAGATGCAGGTGTGCCTGCCCTGCGGTGCTGCGTAACCTCATGTATAGATGCATGTGTAGGTTGTCTGAATATGAAAACTGTATCATCGCTACACTGACCAACCCTGGACTAAGCTCTGTGCGATACTTTTCTACTTTGTGGACTTATTGGCTTTTGAGCCTTTATAGAAAAACTTTTTAATTCTGTGTTTTTGATGTTTTTTTTAATGTTTTTGTGTTTTCTATATGGATCTTATATTGTGTCTGAAATAAAGTAAATTATGATGATGATGAATAAAATGATATACATGATATGAAGTGAATATACTGTATTCACTTCAGCTCCCTCCCTATTCATCATTATGTATAATGATATAATCAATGTTTTCAGTATATTAAACAAAACGATAATTGAACTTTTTAGCTCCAATCTCTGCTCCGTATAATACTGCTATATATCTAATATCTGCTGGCTAATCCTTGTTGACCAGGCAACTCTGTTCTTTTTTTTTTTTTTAAATACCTCTGTTCTTAGACTTGGGAAATGAAATTTCAAATGACTGCTGCTGAGACTGAAGTCCCCACGGCTCTGTGTGTAAATTGCATTGCTCTCACAAACAATCCTATTAAATTATGGCCACTCGGAAGAGACTGATTCTGTAAAACACTGTCTTAGTGGCCTAGTTTCAGCAGAGTTGATCATTTCATGTGTTTAATTATTGAACAAGAATAATCAAACACATGATCATAATGTGGGCAGCACGGTGACCTGTCCAGGGTGTCCCCCACCTTTTGCACAGTGACTGCTATGGGCAACAGTGAACCTGTGACCCGAAAATGAAGAAGCGGGTAAATATAATGGATGGATGGATGGGTGCTCATAATGTCCCAAAAGCCAGCTTCAGTAAGCCAGGTCAGAGCACTAAGGTCCCCCGTCATTGGCTGCCACTCATGGCACCATGCACCCAACTCATATGGCCCCTCCTGCAGGTGAGCACTCAGGAAGTTAAACCAAATGTAACTCACTCAGGCCGAGATGGACTGATGCAGCTTTCACAGTACAGTATTAATAGTATACTATGTCCTGGTCCATTTTGGTGACGAGGGAGCTGAGCTGCAAGGCAAAGCTCTCTGTTTACTGATCGGCCTACATTCCTACCCTCACCTATGACCAAAAACTCTGGGTAGTGACCGAAAGAATGAGATTGTAAGTTGTCAAAATGAGTTTTCTCCCCAGGATGGCTGAGCTGGACTCTCCCTTAGAGACAGGAGGAAAATAAGCTCCTCAGACTGATGAATTATTTTGGATTAAAGACGAAACGTTTCAACAAGTTTTTTTATTTTTATTTTTTTGAATCGTCCAGAGGACCTGACTTAACTTTGTTGGTTTTTTCTACCTGGATTATTGAGCATGCATCAGAGTATGTCGAAGTAGTTTCCATCCAAAAAATAAATAAATAACTCAATAAATACCGTACGGAAGAAACGACGAACAACAAAGCAATTATTTCAATCACAATAAAATAATTAAAGCAAAAATGAAATCAGTAATGTTTTTTAATGTGTAACAGCGCCCCCTGCTGTCACCTCTTTGTCATCACACACCGTGAATAGTAAACAACAGCAGCTTCGGTATACCGTTAGCTTGGACTAACGCCGTGTGTCCTGGAGGCCACGTCCCGGTTTAACGACGAGTAGACTCCGACTGGGTCAGTACAGTACCTTGATTCTGTTGCTGGTTATTCTGGTAGGTACCGAACATCTCTGCTTGATGTTATTTCGGCCTGCTGAGGTGACGCCCGCCCGTTAAAATAAATGGCTAAAGATGTTTATTGCAGCTAACACACGAAGAAGAAGCGCTTCTTCGATTCTTATTTATGTTTTTGTTGTGTAACATAACGAGATAATGCTACGAAAGCTACAGGGTGTTGTTCTCTGTAATAATACTAAAAAATAATTATGTGTGTGTGTGTGCAGGTATATATGATAAATTAGTGCTCTTCATAGGTATTGAATATAGCCTAGCCATTATCTGACAGTGTAAATCGTGTAAATAAAGCACTGAACAGTTTTAATAATATTGGCAATACACAAAAAGGGCGTGGTTATGTAGTGGTTATAAAATTGCTTCAGTTGAAAAATAGGACAGAAAATAACATTAAGAAAAATAATATTGTTTTCTATTATTTGGCTAAAATTAATTGTCTTTGGTAGGTTAGTGATTCAGGAAATTTATGTTCACCCCACTAAATATTTTTGCTCAGGAGCTGCCACTGCAAAGTTTGGTTTTATTTCTGACTTGTCATTTTGCGAAACAATATATATAGTTAGAATATGTACCTTATATTTGTATTATTTATATTATATATTTCACTTTGTGACTTCTCTCATTATATTAGCACCTACAAAGGTCCAGTTAGCTTGTACACAAAGATAGTCTATAAATTTTCATTCATTCAACCTTTATTTAGACAGGTTAATCCCATTGAGTCTCCAGGACTCATTTACAAGAGAGACCTGATTTCAACAAAGAATGACGACAACAATGGACACCAGCCACAACAATAGACAAATATAAAAGAGGCATACAGATTTTGCAAAACAGCTAGATTATAAAATATTCATCGCTTCTGGTTCCGGTTTATA